TGTATCAATAGTGCTATAGTGAAGTAAGTAACATGATGTCGACAATAAAATGAAAATGATGATAATACGACATACGTACTGGCTGTGATGAAAATAATGTATGACATGGTAGCAATGATATGTCATGGCATTCATGCTTGGAAGCAGTAATGTGATGCGTATGCTAGAAGTAATAGGCCCCCCAAGTTTGAGCCGAATATTTATATACGGGTCGGACATGAAGTATAAGCCACTAATAAAGTTGATGTAGAGGCGATGCTCTGAATGTAAGTAGCATAGGCGATACGGGTGATGCTCTGGATGCAGAGGCAATGCTCTGATTGTAGTAGTAGCAGAGGCGATGCTCTGGACACAATAGCAGTGGTGATGCTCTAGATGTAGTAGAGGCGATGCTCTGGATTGAATATGAGTAGCTGTACTGATACTGCAGCATGCTGATGTATGTCAGCCATTGACTTTTTAAGATCAGCTGAGTGTATGGTTGCTGCTGTGATTGTAGATTCAACTGTCTCTACTGAAGCGATGACTCATAGGACAACACATGGGAGATGCTGAAACTTGTGAAGCTGAAGTCTAGGACACATCTTCAATTGAGGAGCGAAGCTTCAATGCTACTTGAGGAAGGAGCTCACCTGCTACCGGTGCACTGACCCACAGGGGACGACACGTTGGGAGATGGCTAAAACTTTGTAAAGTTTAGGAGGGAACGCAGCCACCGAGGCGATGACCGACAGGGGACTCTGCGTCAGGTTGCGTCTAAGCTTTGTAAAGCTAAGTGAGGAGCTCATTTGCGATCGATGCGGGAGAAGGCTGAAGGTTGGTAAAGCTTTGCAATGCTCCAACCGAGGCGATGACCCTTAGGGGACTCTGCGTCGGAAAGGTTAAAGCTTTGTCAAGCTGTATACATCATCTGGTGATGCGGGGATAGACATCCCGCGAATAAGTCTCGAACTATCGGAGCCTTAGTGATTTACCTTGGAATGACGAGGACTTAGAGTCAGGCTCGACGATAGTGAGAAGTGAGGAAGACATCTTGCAGAGCCTTAAATAAATATATAACGAACTATCGAACTGTCGGAGTCTTATAAGCTGGCCTCGGATAGATGAGGACTTAGAGCTAAGCTCGGCGATAGTGAGGCTAAGGATACTCATCTTGTGGAGCCACGAATAAACCTCTAATGAACTGTCAAACTATTGGAGTCTTATAAGTTGGCCTCGGTAGATGAGGAGCTAAGCTCAACGATAATGAGGTAAGGAAAAGACATATCTCGAAGTCGGAGAACACATGTCTGGCGAAGAGTTGAACTATCGAAGTCTTATAAGTTAGCCTCGGATAGATGAGGGCTTAAAGCTAAGCTTGACGATAGTGAGGCACGAGGAATAAGCATCCCGCGAAGCCAGGGATAAACATCTGGTGAACTGTCGAACTATCAGAGTCTTATAAGCTGGCTTCTGATAGACGAGGACTTAAAGCTAGGCTCGATGATAATGAGGCGGGGAATAAGCATCCCGTGAAGCCAGGGATAAACATCTGGCAAAGTGTTGAACGATCGAAGTCTTATAAGCTAGCCTCAGATAGAAGAGGACTTAGAGCTAGGCTCGATGATAATGAAGCGGGGAATAAGCATCACGTGAAGCCAGGGATAAACATCTGGTGAGGTGTCGAACTATCGGAGTTTTATAAGCTGGCCTCGAATAGACGAGGGCTTAAAGCTAAGCTCGACGATAGCGAGGTGCGAGGAAAAGACATCTCACGACTGAGGTCAGGAAAGACTCCTTTTGCAAGGGCTGACATGTCCGCTTCCCTTTTTCAAGGAACGAAGACTTATAAAATAACGCCTCTTCCTTTATTCAAGGAATGAGGACTTCAAGGTACCACATCTTCCTTCACCGAGGGAATGAGGAATCAGAGGTACCACCTCTTCCTTTATTCAAGGAACGAGGACTTCAGATCATAGCCTCTTGGAAATTGTGGTGTAATGACAACTTTTATATTTTTTATCTTCCATTTTTCTTGCCGAAGGAGATAGCTCGAGTAGAACAAATTGAAATGGTGAACTGATGACCATGAGTTTGAAGTCCTCCTCTACTCTTTTTATTTCTAATTCTCCAAGTCAAGTATTTGTGTCCTCTTTCCATGTGATTTGGAATAAGGGGCAGGCCAAAATGGAGGCAAGAAAGACCAACTAGCCAATAAATAGGACACAAATGAGGCTAAAGTAATATGACCTTAATTCCTAACCATAAGGTCAGCGTCTTCAGAATACTAGAAAAACCTGATGCCTTGGTCGAAAGTGAATTTGCATGCTCGCATAATCTGTACTCCGGCACTTATGACGGTCTAATTAACAGTGAGCACATTTGAGATAATGGGGAGGACAATGCATGAGAACTTATTACAAATGACACTCCCCAAGCCTCCAAAGTGAACAAGATTTTACTGAAAATGAAGCCGAGGAGGATAGCAGGCTCTCATTCAAAGGAGGCAATAATTGTGTTGAACTGAAGAAATACAGTGTTGATTTGCAGCTGATTAAGAAGAAGTCGAAGTACCCCGTCAGGCTAGATGGAGAAGCTGAAGTGGAATGAGAAGGCTGAAGTGGGTGGAAGAACCGAAGACTCTTTTTGTTATGATTACGGCAAACCCGCTAAAATGGAATGTTGAAGCGAGGCCGAAGTGAGAGGAATCGAGGCGGTAGAACTGCAGAACTGGGAAGTTGAAGTGGGAGGCTGATGCAAGAATCGAAGGGGTGGAACTAAAGTTATCCTTCTACGGTTATTCTAGCAAACTGGATGTCCAAATGATTCCAGTAGCCGAAGTGGAAGAACTGAATTGGAAGGGCTAAAGTGGAAGGATGAAGTGGGCGGAGCTGCCGAAATTTGCTTCCCATGGTGATTTCAGCTAACCCACGTTTCCAGCAAGCCCAAATGTTCCAATGTAATTAAAAGAGTTATGGGCCAAGAGAAAATACATTTTTGAGCCCAATAATAGAATGGAATATTTAATTGGCCCAAATGAAATAACCTCCAGCAAGGTTACGTGAATCAGCTATATCTAAAGAATTCAATTGTAAAAATGGGAGATTAATTTAATATGAAACTATTACCTAGGCTAGCAAAAAGTCTGCAAGACCTGTTGAAATGGGCTACCCATCTGCATGCTACCACCAGTTATGTGTCCATCAACATAAATGCTTCGTGGACAAAAAGAATACCTATGTATCGCTGGCTATTGAAGTTTTTCTTGCACCAATAGCCATTGTGTGGTTTTTTGCAAAACCCATTTCCATGGTAGTGGAAAGGATGGTTTTGGTGTTGAAATTAGTAGTATGGATTGTTGTAGCAATGGTTATGACTTCATTGTTGCTTGGGAGTTCCGAACCACTTCAAGCTAGCAGTTCCTTAACTTCAATTGGCGTCTGACTTCTTCTAAGAATGTGTGTAAATATTTTCAACAATAAGGGACATAAAAGGCACCTTTTGAACAAGTCCACTGGTGGATCTTTTCTTCAAATAATCCCAGTAGTCATTGTTATAGCCAGAGAGTTCCTTTTTCAAGGAGTTTTTCATGCCTCCGTTCATCCTTGCAGTAGCTATTTTCTTATTTTTTTCAATGGCTGTGTTTGCTTCTTCTTGGTGGAGAACACTGCCCAGAAAATTCCATTTTTCATGTTGAAAGTTTCCTTTTTTCAAACAAAGTTTTCAAAAATGGTTTGGTAGCCATTTTTCTTCTTTTTCATGACCATTTTCATGGCCAGAATATTCATCGAAAAACTTCTTTTTTCAAGGAGATTTTTGTATCCCAGTCAGTAGCTATCTTCCATCATTTTTCTTCATTTCTTTGTTACTGCCTTCGCCTTTTCCGGGAAATAATTCCATTTTTTCGGTGGCTTTTTATATGTGGTGTAACATGGTTAATGTAATGATTCCCACAAACGGCACCAATCTGTTGACCTCCAAAAATGGCTCCAATAGGCACCCTAGCTTCGTCCCCTCGAAACCTGAGCATGTAGCACCCCGTCAAGAGGCAGAGAGGCCGGACGAGAAAAAAGGTCCGACGATCATTTGCACTCCGACGGTCAAGTCAACGGCCGGACGGAGATAGATATATAGAGTGCAATAGTAGAGAGATGGGGGATTTGGCTAGAGTATTTAGAACATACCTTAGTTGTGTTAGTGAATCCATATATATAGAGAAATGGAAGTGAAATGGGTTAAACGGGTTGGTGGGCTGAAGTCCAAGCCTAATATGAGGTGACCAAAATAATAGGTACCTCAGTAGGCGCTTTGGCTGGACTTCTTAGGGCCTCGGTGGCGCCTCGACTGGACTCTTTAGAGCCTCGACTTTGGGGCCCAATTTTGATGGGCCTCGTCTGAGTCCAATAAGATGGCCTAATATGATGTGATAATTCATCGGCATAACATTTATCTCTTATTATTGTTCTTTAGTTTAAGGGAAAAAAATTAAACAACTATTGCCAAATCAGCACACCAAATTCTAAATAAGACTTAACCAACAAAACATGACTTTAAAGGAAAACAATCCCAAACCCTTTAGGCGTGAAATCCATCCCCCCAAATCAATTTCTCCCATTCGTGCAGATCCTTAACTTCTCCTCTCAACTCAATTCTTCTCTTAAACCCTAAGTATTTGAATTAAGGACTCCCCAAAATCTCTTGAATCCCAACATCTTGAAATCCATTTCTCCAAAATCTCTATGTTCGAGATTGCTGGCTTGTTATATGTTGCATATAGTGGAAGCGGTCACTCAACTTTGCAAATTGGGGCCTCACACATCACTATTTTAGTGACCTCCCAGAGACTTTTTGCAAAGTTCAGTTACCACTTAAGGGACATTTTGAAGTTCGATGATCAAATGGGGGACTTCGACAAAGTTCAGTGACTATTCAGGGACGTTTTGAAGTTCAGTGACCTCTTGAGGGACTTTGGCAAAATTCAGTGACCATTGGGGGGATTATCTCAAAAGGCGAGTTTTATACAGAGGAGGTGCTGGAGTTCAGGGATTTTGATCGGAGGAATATTGCAGATACTGCAATTCATTGTAAAAAGCATTACTGAAGTGGGTCGATTCTAATTCGATTTGACATTTACTTGCTGGAGGAGGTGAGTTTCAAACTCCCGATTTCCGCTTGAGTTTGGATATTGTTTAGTTTTAATTTTCACATTTATTGTTTTGTTTTATTTTATCACAAGAAGAAAGAAACCTTAACTCGTGTTTCAGTTTTGTTAAGATTCTTCCTTACTTTCTTCGAAAGTGGAATTTTTGAAATTTTATCGAGGGAAATTAAATATTTGGTGTGTTTGAGAATCATAGCTTATGCTAATGGTCTTGTCTGTGTGTACATCATCATCTTTTTCACGTTTGTCGATTCTTGATTGCCTGATAATTATCATTGTGATTACTTTTTGAATCTTGCCAAGGTTGTAGTTTTGGGTTTATAGATTACAACAAATTCTATAAACAACAAATTTGTCTCCCTCTGCATCTAGCGCATGAGTTTTTCCCCTTTCGTTATTGAGATAAAGTGATACATGAATATCGGGTCTTGCATGTGGTATGGTGATAATCTCATCTTTTTCATGTTTGTTTGAACTCTTACAGAAATTCTAGAGGAGTCTCAACTCGAAGAGGAGCAAATGGATGGTCATGGATCAACACAAGGGCCACTGGTAATTGTTCTATTCACATCTTACTAGAGATCAACAATGTATTACATCATAATTGTAAGCTTCCATCAGGTTCACTATCTATGGTGTCATTCTTTGTAGGATGAAAGAATTTCAAGTTGATTGGTGTTCTGTTTCACAAATATAATCAATAAAAGGAACACGAAAGTGTCAAAATTATCATTATCTTGTGAGTGATTATGAGTAAGTCCCCAAAGATTACTAGTGGTTTTTTTGAGTGTCAGATCTTGAAAGTTGCTGGGTTTGAAAATGCTTTTTTAGGTCTTGATTTGTAGCATCCTATCGTGTTTAAAATGGGGGAGACGGTCAATCAGATTATTCATACATGATATGTTTGGTACACAAGTTATCGAGCTTTAGATCAATTTCATTTTTTGCAACAGGAAAAGACGAAAGTGTGTTCAAGCAGTCATCTCAAGATTTCTGCAGCAATTGATTGTCAAGCTTCTGTATGTAGGGATTTTGGAGCCATGTACTTGTTGCTGTAAACAATGGGATTTAGTCTTGACAAATGCAGAGCAGAACTGGGACAACAAAAGATTAGGGTATGTACTACCAACTTTGTAATTAGTAAATATATTAGAGAATTCTTTGGGTGTTAATTGTATGAGATGCTGCAAAATGGTTATTCACAATTTGAAATTTGAAGCTATTAGATGGAATTTGGAAGGTTATATATATAGTTACAATTTTATGGTTACAGACATAAAAGGTGGAGAACTTTAGAATTTGGCACTTACAATAGAATAATAAACAAAATAGGTAAATCTTTGGAAGCGTACTACAATAAAAATGTGATCAAGGAAGTTTCATATCAAAATCAAATGCTCAAAATATAGACACCTTATCAAGAAGAAAATAGAAAATGGACATTTATATTCCTCTTATTACTAGTAAAGAACAACTAGCATATTTTTTTGACAAAAGAAGTGTAGAGACCTTTATTCCCTCAAAGAAGAAATGATAATCCTTCTGTTTGTTTTTTTTTTTTTTTTTGTATATCTACTTTGGCTTACTAATTCTTTGAAGATTGTACTCTACAAATGCAGGACTTGCAATTCTTTGGAGATTGTCACTAAATTCTTTGGTTTACTACTGGATTACTGCATAAAAAAGGACTTGCAATTGTTGAGAGCAATGGGGATTGGGGTGAGTAGCACATGACACTAAAACTTGGTACAAGGACATCCTAAAATATCATTAATTTCAATATGAATTAGATAAAGAGAAGTTGGTTATGTTTTACAATAGCATGCTTGCTTTTTTACATTATGGATTCAAGTGTATTGGAGAATATTGTCATGTTTTACATTATGTATTCAAAAAATTGTAATGAATCTATCAATTTTTATGCAATTTCAAAATTTGTCATTTTCAAAATTTTGAGTCAATTAACATAAATTACTGTAAAAAAACTATTGCAAAATACTTACGGCAATGTTTTTTAAATGTTGCAGTAAGTGTCTATAGCAATGTTTTTTAAACGTTGACGAAAGTGTCTTTCGCAACATTTAAAAAACGTTGTCGTATCTTTCCGCTCTATGACAACACTGAGGTTTGCAACATACGTCCAAACATTGCAAAAGGTCTTGATCAACGTTTTTTAAATGTTGCATATGGATGTTTTTGTCGCAGTGTTTACTTTATTGTGCTTTTAGATAGAGACGAATTTAATCGTATTAGCACATGTGATTCTACATAAAATGCATTAGAAGTTACTCATGTTAGTACTAGCAAAGAGAAGGAAACCAATATCAATCTTTTGGCTAAAGGATTTGAGAAAATTTTCATGAAAGAAGATGAACACATTGTCTATATGATTACTCGCTTCATCGATATTATAAATGACCTTAAAAGCTTTGATTGTAAATTTACTAATAGTGAGCTTGTAAGTAAAATGCTTAGACTACTATCGGAAGATTGGAACTCATTAAGGATGTTGATAGAGAATGCCAAAGTATCCATTGAAAATTTTTTATGGAACCGTAATGACTTATGAACTTAATAACGCCGAAATTAAGGAGAAAATGAGGAAAATTAAAGAAGAATCAAATAAGCCCCCTAAGCGTCAAGTTGCTTTAAAATCGACAATTGAAGGAGCTACAAGTGAAAACATGAGTGATGAAGAGCTCAATGATCTAGTTCTTCTTGTTAAGAAATTAAGGTCTTCGTGATAATTGAAGATTCCAAAAGAAAGAGGAAAATGGAGAAGAAAGAAGCAATAAAATTATTTGCTATGATTTTGACAAATCTGGTCACAAAAGAACCGAGAGACCAAACAAGAAAAAGGCACTCCAAGCAACATAGGATGAGAGCAATGATTATTGTAATGAAAATGATAGTCAAGAATAAGTAGCCAACATGTGCTTCATTGTAAATGAAGATGAGGTAAAATCTATTGAAAATGTTCATATGATGATTTATCTATGAAATTCTTGAGGAAGTTGAAAAACTTGCCTTAAATCACTCCATCCTCGAAAAGAAATGTTCATTTTTGGAAAATGAAATGAAAAGAATTTTAGAAATTCAAAAGGATTTTAAAATGAGAAATGTTGATTATGATTCATTGATTAAAGAAAAATTTTCTCTAAAAGAAAAGGTTGAAGATTTGACTAAAACTGTTCGTAAATCCATACAAGGTAAGAAAAATTTGAATTTAATGCTTGGCAATCTAAAATGTATTCTTCACAAAGGAGAAACCTAATATAAACCATTCCTAAAATAAAAATCTTTCAAAAATTTATTTGTTGAAGCATCCAATTTCTCTATTCCGAACAGTATATGTAGCTTTTGCAATAAATATGGATATATTGCTTTTAATTGTCTAACAAAAAACACGCTACATTTTGAAAGCAAAAACAAGTGGATTCAAGAGTTCCACTAACACTAACTACAAAGAATCCAAACTTGTATGGTACCGAAGATCGAAAATTGAATTATTTTGTAGGTACCAAAGAAGGTATGAAGCAAATAGTTCTTGGATAGTGGATGGTCAAAGCACATGATAGGAGATAGATGTTACTATTAAACTTCAAAAAAAGGATGGAGGTCACATCACTTTTGAAGATAATACAAAAGGAAAAATCATTGGAATTTGAAACATTGGTAATCATTCATCTCATTTTATTGAAAATGTTTTATTAGTAGATAGCCTCAAATGTAATTTGCTTATTATTAATCAATTATGTGATAAAGGATATCATATTAAATTTGATTCTTCCAAATGTATCATTAAGGATACTACATCAAAAGATGTGATATTTATATGAAGTCAAAGTACATATGTTTATATCATAAATATCGAATTTGAAAGTAACGAAAATTGTTTATCAAGTGCATAGGAGATTATGTCATATTAGCATGGATCTTCTCTAAAAAATTTCAAAAACTTGTTTTGTCAAAAGATTGCCAAATTTAAAATTTGAGAAATATAAGGTTTGTGATGCTTGTCAATTTGGGGAACAACTGAAGAGTTCTTTTAAACCTAAACTATACTCTCCTACTAAAAAATCGTTGCAACTTCTCCACATAAATCTTTTTGGACCATCTAGTACCGCTAGTGTAGACAGTCATGATGCATTCTTAGTTGTCGACGACTTTTCTAGGTATACTTGGAAATTTTGAACATAAAAGATTAAGCTTTAAATGCTTTTTAAGCACTTTTGTGAAAATGTTCAAAATAAAAAGTGATATACTATTATATCTATTAGAAGTGATCATGGTGGAGAGTTTTGTAATAAAAATGGATATGGACATAATCTTTCCGCTCCAAGAACTCCTTAACAAAATAATGTAGCAGAAAGGAAGGATCATACATTGCAAAAAATGGTTAGGACTATGCTTAATAAAAATAGCATACCCAATATTTAGGCCAAAGCCATTGACATTGCTTGCTACATCATTAACAGGGTTCTTGTTAGTCGAAAGAAAACAAAAGCTCCTTATGAGCTTTGTAAAAATAGAGTTCCAAACATTAGTTATTTCTAAGTATTTGGTTGCAAATGTTTCATTTTGAATACAAAGTTTGGAAAAATTTGATTCAAGATCGAATGTTGGAATCTTTCTAGGGTACTCTTCGATTAGTAAAGCTTATAGAATCTTTAACAGAGAACTCTAGTCGTTGAAGAATCTACGTATGTTTCCTTTGATGGATCTAATTCTCTTGATCAAGAGAAAAGTATTCTCATGATATAGGATTGGAGATTCCATTCGACCTAATAAATATATCCAAGATTAAAACAAGAAAGATCCTAAAAATATTATAAACCAACACAAGGAAGATGCAAATGACCAATAAGATGAGATAAATCTTCTGTAATATCAAATGATCCATCTCTGCCTAAAGCATGGAGGTTTGTTCATTTTCACTCAAAAGAAATTATTATTGGTGATCTATCCAAAGGTATTATTAGTAGACTTCAACTAGAAATCAATTCAACAGTTGTGCATTTATATCACAAATTGAATTAACGAATTTTAAAGAGGTTGAGTTTGATGAATTTTAAATTCTAACTGTGCAAAAAGAACTAAATCAATTTAAAAGAAATCATGTTTGGAGTTTAGTCGCTAGACCAAATGATCAAACCATCATTGGCACAAAATAGTTCTTTAGAAATAAACGAGATGAAAATGGGATAACTATATATGACAAGGCTACATTAATGGCCCAATGTTACAATCAAGAAGAAAATGTTGATTTTGAGGCAACTTTTGTATCGGTTGTTAGATTAGAATCCATTCACATTTTTCTTACAATTACTTTCCATAAAGGATTCACTCAGCATCAAATGGGTTTATGCAAGAAGAAGTCTTTGTAGAACAGCCATCTAGTTTTAGAGATTACAAGTATTCGGATCACATTTTCAAACTTAGAAAAGCTCTTTATGGTATAAAGCAAACATGCATAGTTTGATATGAAATGTTGAGCAAGCTTCTTCTACTCTCAAATGATTTTTCAATGGGTAAAGTGAATGCTATCTTTTTTGTAAAAACTAAAAGGAAATATATGATTCATGTTCAAATTTACGTTGATGACATTATATTTGGTGTTATTAATATTTCTCTTTGTGAGAATTTTCAAAATGTGTAAGTGAGGAGTTTGAATGATCATGATGGAAAAACTTAAAATTCTTCCTTGGACTTTAAACTAAGCAAACTAATAACGTAATATTCATTTTCAAAACAAGTATATATTGGACATGTTCAAAATTTTTGAAATGGAGGAACTAAAGCCAATGAACACTCTGATGAGCTCATTCATAAAATTGGACGAAAATAATTAAGATACTTTCATTGATGTAACTAAATATCAGGGTATGGTCAGATCTCTTCTTTACTTAATCGCAAGTAGATCTGATATCATGTTTAGTGTTTGTCTATGTATGAGATTTCAATCTAATCCCAAAGAATCACACATTAGTGCCTTAAAGTAAATTTTTAGATGCCTTAGTAACACTAGAACATTAGGTCTCGGGTATCCTAAGGGCACTCACATTGATTTACTTAGTTATTCAGATGTCGATTGGGCAGGTTGCACAATTGACTATAAATGCACTAGAGGAACATGTCACTTTCTAGGCTTTGCACTTGATTCATGGCTTAGTAAGAAATAAAACTCGATTATATTTTCTATCGTCGAAGCCGATTATATTTTAGCCACTAGTTATTGTGCATAAGTTCTATGGACGAAACAATTAGTGATTATCACTTGACATTTGACCATATGCCTATCATGTGTGATAACAGGAGTGTCATAAACTTATCAAAAAATTCCATCTTGCACTCTTGAACGAATTATATTAAGATTAGACAATACTTTCTATTAACTCATGCACAAAAGGGAGGTACTATATTAGAATTTGTGAATACAGAAAATCAATTGTTCGACATTTTCACTAAACCTCTAGTACTTGATCAATTCTCATATATTCGAAGAAGCTTGGGCATTATTGATGAATTAGAAGTACATGGCTAAGTCAAATTCATACTACGTGTTCTTATATGATTAATTTCTACATGCGGTATTGTTTAATATTTATTATATTTTTGATTTAGTACGGTATAAAAAAAAGTCTGGATGCTCTAGTACTTGATCAATTCTCATATATTCGAAGAAGCTTGGGCATTATTGATGAATTAGAAGTACATGGCTAAGTCAAATTCATACTACGTGTTCTTATATGATTAATTTCTACATGCGGTATTGTTTAATATTTATTATATTTTTGATTTAGTACGGTATAAAAAAAAGTCCGGATGATGTCCGATCGACCAAAGATAGATCTTTTTTACAAAAGTTTTTTGATCAACAGGATAG